TCATCATCCAAGTCAACATCGATGTGAACTCCGGTGTTAAGAAAGTTGTTTTCTAACTCACGTTCATCATCGGAGTTAGGAGGAAGTTGACTAGAGGCATAATGCAATTGCCCGGTTGCAGTAGTAGTGTTGAATATCTCCCCTAAAATTTGATAGTGCTCTAAGCCTTGCGTGCGAAATTGCTTCGCTTTTGGCTTACTCTACAAACCATGAAAATTATATTATATCAAATGTCACAACCAATTCTTATGTATCAGAGTCAGTTAAAAATAATAATACAAAGATTTCTATATGATATTATTATAATACCTTCAAGTAACTTGCCCAAACATCCTCTGAGGCAATCACTGTGTTTGCAACAGGATCCCACCCAACTCCCGTATGCTCAATCAAATCTGAGAAGTCATGATGTACTATTCGCAGCCTATTAAACTTAGATTTAAGTTGTGGAATAGTACATTTTTGTCCACATTGTGCATACAACTCATCACTTATTTCTGCCCAAACTTTCATTTTAAAAGTTGATGTCTGCAAGTCACCCTTCTTCACATGTTCATGCAATATATGTATGAATATTGTCTCATGTCTTGGAGGCCATGACATTTTTTCTTGACCGTCAACATTCTTGGACGCCATATCCTTTTAAAGAAAGAAAATTATGACAACCTTCAATCATGTAATGCACAACTAGAAACTACCGAATAGCCTTCCTAAACTAGTCCAGATTTATTCTCAAATGCACTAAGCACTGTTTCGTCTAAAACCATAAAACATATAAAGCCAACAATCAATCTATCAATTACATCTAACATCAGCTCCTATTTCAAGAGTTTCATCCTATTTCTGTTTGACAGAAACCAGAGTTATAAAAAGAAATTAAAACCAGAAAATAGATCCAACTCCTTTGACTTAACCAAAGGCAGAAAACAGGGAAAACATTCAATCTTAGTCAAGATCGTAGAAAACAGGGAAAAAAAATTCAATCCTAGTTAAGATCAATTACAAAAAACAAGGAAAAAATTCAATCATTGACATAAACAAAATTTAAATTAAAGTTAGCATAAAGAAAACCCCAAATCTAAACACAAATAACATCATAGTCTTCATACCCAAATCTAAACATAAATAGCAGAAAAAGAGTAATTTCGTACCAAAATCTTCTAGAAGACTGAGCAGCAAGATCTTCCAAGTGAGTGTGAAACGAAATCTGAGAAGAAAAATTTCAGTTCAGATACACCATACAAAAATACCCAAATCTAAAACGAAATATTTTATATAAATTTTTCTTACCAAGATCTTCCAAGAGAGTGTGTAGGAAGATTGCAAGAGTGGGAAGCAAGGAATTTCTCTGTTTCTCGTAGATGAAGGGCGTGTTTCTGTTTTAGACTTGGACGAAGGGATGAAGACGAAGAACAGGGGATGACGATGAAGACGAAGATCACGGGATGATGACGAAGACGAAGATGAGGGGACGAAGACGAAGCGGTGAAGAGACGAAGATGAAGGGATGAAGCGTGCTCGAGGTCCTCTTTGTTTTCTCCGTTTTCCCAAATAGGATTCTGCGTTCTCTAGATTAGAGTTGAGAACGGAGAGAACGTCATTTTGTCGTTTTCAATTTTTACGCTTTAGGCGTGAATTCATTCTCTCAAAACCTTTTCCGTGTTTTTGTCAATAGCCCACCGAACACATTTTTTATCCGTATTTGGGCTCAAAAAACAAAAACGGGCCTCTAAATATCCTACCGAACAGCCCCTTATCTTCTAAAGCCAAATTGAAATCATGGGCATCACCTTTTTGGTGAGAAATCCAAAGGCGCGACCAAGCATTCTTCAAGTTGCTGGAAGCCCAATCAAACAAGTAGAAGCTGCTGGAACATCTGTTCCACTATATTTCAAGCAAACCTTCCAGCATCTGCCCCACCTCTATCATCAGGCAATAGCTTCACAGTAGCTGATGTATCCTTCTCAACAAAACTTTCAATGTACTGAAGAGCCATTGAAGAAGACCAAAGCACTCCTTAAGGTCTCAACTTTTTCGGGGTGTTTTGGGGCCTAGTGCCGCAAACTCAGACAGGGGCGCAAGAGAGCTCGATCTACTTCGCAATAGTCCAACAAGCCCATTATAACTCTTAACAAGAAGATATTCTTTGAAAAACCCTAGATCGCTAGAGACCTAAAAATACATAGTCTTATTCAATACACAAGGTAATCCAATTTTTTACCTGAGAACCTCATTTTCTCTCTCTTTGGTCATTCCCCTCTCTCTACACTTTCCCTCACATAGGTCTGGTCACCAGTCTCTCCTTGTGAGAGAAAACTCAGTTCCCGTTTTTACCTATTGCCTCATCTTTTCTCAAATATCCAATCGAACTTACTTAGGCATCGGAGGGCCTTTGGCCAACACCCCTCAGGTGTTGTCTTTTACTCTTGTTTGTTTCACAGGAACCAAGGAAAAGAGAGAAGGAAGCTCGAATAATGAAGAATTTGCACGCGAATATTCTCTTATGAGAAATTTGCAGAAACAATTGGTGCTTTTATTGAGAGCACGAGTTATACTCAACACGTACTCTTGAATCCGTTTCCTCCTATTCGTCACTCAACGAAACTCTTCCAAACGACCATGGTTGGAAGCAAGAGCAAGAGAAGCAAGACCGCCGCGACGACACAATCGGTGATAGATCCAAACTACCAGGATGGCACGGCGATAGATCCAAACTACCAGGATGGCACGGCGTCGAGCCATCCCCACGCTCTGCCGCTGTTGTCATGGATCGAGCCACAATCCTGGCGACTCCTTGTCTTGCCCGTTGACAGAGAGCACAATCCCGGTTCACCACACCACGCCACCTCCTGACCACCTCATTGCAGTACAACTGTCTCGTCAGATCCCACCAACGAGCCCGTGGCTCAGCCATGCAAACATCTGGCTAGAGCATCTTTGCAGCCTCACGGTATGGTGATTGCCACGATCTTGTAGCAACACAACCGTGTTGCTAGATCTAGCAACCACCACCAACTCGGCCTCACGGCCGGTTTGACTCGTTTCATCTTAACGTCGCCGCCTGTGACTAACTTTATGCTGCTGCCGACTTCGGCCCAATCTTGGAGCAAGTGCATCCATTCCCTATTTTGCCTCCTCCCTCAACGTAAGATCCCATGTACACCTCTAACGAAACCCTAACCCGTGTGCAAATAGGCTTCACATAATTTTCTCCTCCTAATCCACGAAGTCAAGCATACCTCAGTCTTAGAGTTGATCAGCTAGCTCAAAGAGTGGACAACCAAAACAATTTAGTTGGACAGCTCCTCAACCAGATTGACTTGGTCCGAGACCTTGGCCTTAGACTTTAAGACGAAGAAAGAAGGATGGATGAATGCACCCACATGCATTTCGAAAGGTCCCATGTAGGTCAAGCAGGAGTAAGCAGACAAGGAGAATGGCAAGAGTGTGTTCAGCACATTGGCATGTCGCAAACATTCCTGAGCCACGCTCAAATCAGATCGAATATCTGATCGAGGTTAAGTCGAGAGTCAAAGTGCACGAGAGGTTGAGCTCACAATCCAATGTTCAAGCTCACCTAGCCAGTAGAGAAGCGTTCACTTGAGACTAGGCTCTCAAGGAAATCAACCTCACAATCATCCCTATGAAATATAAGAGGAAAGACGCACCTACTCAGTCCCAAGAAGCCTCACAATCAGTACACCAACACATCGCGCAGGCAGGATGGTCGAAGAGATCTGCTCTAAGGAGACAATGAGGAGGTAAACCAACGACACCCAAATCGTTAAAGAGACCAACGTGAACTGCAGGCCATGCAGGCAGAAGATGTTGAGAAGCTTGTCAATGACTAGCTTCGAGACTTGAAGATCGAAGGAGATTTTGAGGATGGCTTGCACAGGGAGGTAGACCAAGTGAACTCTTCATTATTCATTGCCGAAATCGAGAAGGCAGCTCCACTGAAGCGATTCTCAATGCCCTCTTTCACACACTTCAAATGGGATTCCGATCCCGAGAGCCATCTGAAGCACTTCAAAAGTATTATGATTCTCTACAAAGCCGAAGACGCACTAATGTGCAAGGTGTTTGTTATGACCTTATAAGGAGCTAGCATTCGTCTTCACCAAGGAGTACACTTCTTAGCGGACGATAAAAAAGAACCGTGACCACCTGTTCAACCTGCATAAGAAGCATGATGAGTCCCTCCGAGACTACATCAAGAGATTCAAAGCAAAAAGGCAAACATCGTAGGTTGCGATGATCGAATCACATTCTATGCCTTCAAGAAGGGCTTGCTAACTGGGCACGACTTATACCACAAGCTTACTATCGCTCTCAGCCAAACTCTAGTAGAGGTTTTCACCACTGCAGAACACTACACACTTTGGGTAAAGAGACCACCGCCTTTGAAAGGAGACCCGAACAAGAGGGATTCTAGAAAATAATGTGCCTTCCATGTGGTACACACTCATTTCACGAATAATTGATTTGCCTGGAAAAAGCACCTTGAAGAACTGGTGAGAGAAGGCCACTGCACAAAGTTCGTAGCAAAGCAGGCCATCCAACAGATTGAGGACCGCGATGCAGAGAAGGGGCCTCTGCAAAAAAGAAGAAGATTAAACAGGCTACTGTTATCTCCCAAGTCTTGACCAGCTGCACAGCAATTGAAGACGATCACAAGATTGGCTTCCAAAAGAAAGATTTAAGTGGGCTTGATTTACGGTATAACAATGCCTTCATTATAAGCATCTAGATCGCGCAAGGCATGATCAACTGAGTTCATGTAGACGAGGGCAACACAACCAACATCCAACAAATGGGAATGGAGACCAAGGTCATCAGGTCAGGCAAGTTGCTGACCGGCTTCAATGGAGCAACGACGATCACTGTGGGAGCGGTAGAGCCCGACGTCTACACCCTACCAGTGATCAACGCCCATATATTCATGATCATTGACGAAGTCTCTCCCTACAATAGCATCCTCGGAAGACCATGGATTGGTAAGATCAATGCCATCACATCTGCCATGCACTAGAAAATTCGTTACCCAATCCCTAGGGGTGGTGTCTAGATCAACAGCGATCAAGCAATGACAAGAATGTGCTCAGCTAAAGGGTTGAAGGAAAGCAAGCAAGCATAATTCGTCCATATAAACCAAGCATATCTAAAGGGAGTAGACGAACAAGGGAGGAAGCATATCCCGTTCTTGATAGTCGAGCAAATCAGAAGGGAAAGGGAATAGTCATTCCCCAATAGCAATTAAAGAACCAAGACCAAGACGAGGGAATCCGCCTAGAGGTCACCCTTGAAGAAGGATGGAAACCCGAAGAGGACGTCGAACTAGTACCCCTTGATCTTGACATGGCAGAAAGAAAAGTGCGGATCGACTCTCATCTAAGCCCAAAAAAGAATGTGGAGCTTACAGCCTTCCTCAAGAACAACAAAAACGTGTTCTCGTGGTCGCCATCTGACATGTTAGGCATCAATCCACAGATCATTCGCCATCGTCTTCACGTTAACCCAGCGAGCAAACTAATAACACAGAAGGGACGTAACTTCACTCTCGAGTGAGTTGCCTTCATCGAAGCCGAGATTGACAAGCTCGTAGCTATCGTTTTCATTAAAGAAGTCTCCTACGC